AGACTGTCACTTATCAAGACATCTCGGCCGAGATTCTTCGAAGCCGCTCACCCCATGCATCAGCACTTCCGTCCATTTTTGGCTTCGTCCTCAAGTACGGAGGCGGAACAGAGCATGACTCCTTCATGGCCAGAACAGAACGACATGTCCGAGCTCACGGCTTCCCCAATCGAGTCCTGGGCGGTGACATGTGGCATGCATTGTCTCAGGATTGCAAGGGACCGGAGCAACACGTGTCCTGGCGACACATGCTGCTGAAGTTCGGACTGTGCGGGCCAGAGAAGTGCTTGACTTTGACTGATGTGAAACGATCCCTCAGTGCCAGGGACGTCTTGAAGAGTGTCGGTGAAGCAGAATCCTTCTTGCTGCAAGTGCAGAAGCTCGGGCAGGACCTTGACTCGGACACCATCGAAGCCAGCCTCGGGAACTTAGAGGTCCAGCTGGCATCCATCGTCCTGCAGAAGAAGAAGATCTCCCAACACGACACTTTGCAAGATGCAGCCCGGAGCTGCTTGGAGAAGATCGGGGCGCCGTGTCCATGGGGGGTTGCGGCCTCGACATCGACGGCGACCAGAGAGCCGTCCACTTTGCACCGGGGTTCGCGACTTGTTGTGTTTATATAGATTCTGTGGAGTGTCTAGAATGCATGGGTGCATGCATGCCTGCATGACATGTGGGTTTCAGGAATATATATACAGGATGGGTCCATGCATGCATGAGGTTTAGGTTTTCAGGGATTCTGTTGAGTGCATGGGTCCATTCACCCGCGATCGAGGGCTTGGTTTTCGGGTTTTCCGCTCCAGTGTATATAGTATAGTATATGTTGTAGTCGTTGTTCCGGCGCTTTTGTCTTTTCTAGGAGTTTGCGGGTCTACGACGAGACAGGGAAGCCTGTGTCCAACTCGCGAGTCGTGGACCTGGGATTTCAGCCCGGGAATGAAGTGATCCGAAAAGCCGACGACATGAAGGGCACCATCATGGAGATCTCGGCGGAGAGTGTCCGCCTCCGTCTGACGGATGGCCAGGAGTACCTGGCATCCAGTCAATCATTTGTGGACGGAAAGTGGAAGCAGCACGTGCAGAAGGCGGAACCCGTGCTGTTTAAGGACTGGAGGAAATATGACCCAGTCCACAGCACGGAGTTCACCATTGGAGTCGTGAAGGGCGTGGTTTTCCACTCCATGTACGAGCAGTACGAGACGTTGAAAGTCGACGACCTTGATATCTTTTTGAAGCCGACCAAGAATGTGCAGGTGAAGAAGAGCTACAACATCAACATCCTGAAGCTCCCCATCGCCACGGCCAGAGTTAATGTTGGTGAGACGGTGCCCGCGGGAGCAGTGCAGTTGGCTGTGTTGGCTGCAGGAGCAACCAACAAAGAGACCCACAAGATATACATGCAGGCTCATTTTCAAGGTCCCAAGACAGACTCCTCCCAGCAAGGCTTTATCAATCCAGTATGGCTGATGAAGAGCACAACAGATCGGGATGAGGCCAACATGGAGCTGCATTGGACGAGCAAAACCTCCATGAACCAGAAGCTCACGTGCAAATCCGCATCGATGACTCTCCCGATCGTCCGCAATTTTGTGAAGCTCGATGCAGGCGATTCCTTGGTGCTATGGAGGCCCGACATGGGCAAGAGCGAATCGATCGAGGTTTTGGAGCCCGTGAAGAAGAAGGCCCGAAAGTAAGTGCTTTTCCACGGCAATTTTGAGTCGTTCGCCAGAAGGCCCCTGAATCCCATTCGTGCGGCAGAAGGCCCCTCATCCCATTCGTGCGGCAGAAGGCCCCTAATCCCATTCCTGCGGCAGAAGGCCCCTAATCCCACGCAGCCATGCAGCTCCTGTGTGATCGGTTGAAAAGAAGGATGTGTGAGGCACTTTCGAAGCAGCATGCTGCACTGTGCATTGCTTTTCTCGTGCACTTCCTTTCTCGTGCTTGCATGCATACTGTCTGCAGCTGTTCAGGTTGCGACTTGATTGTGAGGTTCGCAGGGCTTTGCTCGCGGCCTATATTGCAGCAGGGCTTAGCTCGCTGCATATACAACATGTCCGACGAGGAGTTGCATGCTGTTGTGCAGGATGAGGAAGAGGGAGACAAGCCTTTGAAGATGTTTACCGCCGTATGCCTCTCGGGCGGGAACATCAAAGGTGTTTGGATGCCGGAGACCCAAGTTGTCTCCGGCTTTACCTTCATAAGGCTCTCCAAATGGTGCAAAAAGCTCACCCAATACGTGACGGGTAAAGCTATGAATCTTCATCAACAAAGACCAATCAACAGCATCAACGTTCAATGGTTCATCACGATGCAGGATCTCCGTCGCCAGGCATGCAACGAAGCCCTAAAACGTGTCATCGCGCAGGCAGCCGAAGCAGAAGGCTCCAAAATTCCCGAGAAGATCAGGCCCGCTCGACAGGAAGACGAGTTCCTTGCCGGGAGAACAGTTGTAGTGACTCCACCGGCTATCGAGGGCTCCGATGACGAGGCTGTGGCTCCACAGCAGCTCCGGATCTTGTGGACGTTGAAGTCGGCGGATATCTGGATGGAGCTCACGATTCCAAACATGGAGTACGTGAAGAAGGCGATTCTCAAGTCGCCGCCTTGGCAGCAGCCGATTGGAAAACGAGCCAAGGGTGCGGCAGCCAGCCCGAAGCGGAGGCGAAGGCGAGGCCCGAAGCCCAGGGCACATCGTGAGCCAGACGAGCCGCTCGAGCAGTCAGAGCACGACGAGGCTGAAGACAATCGCGAACCCTTGGACGATGACTGAGGATATATTGTGATGTGCATCATTTGTGTTTTTCCCAACGTTTTTCCAAACTTGCACTCAGGGAATACCTGTTTGTGCATCGGTGGTAGCAATCTTATAGAAGCTGAAGTGTAGGAAGTTTTGCAATATTATACACCTCAATGACAAGTTCCAGTTGTGATACTTGTTTCACAAACTCGAATTACAAGGGCTTTTTTTTAATGTGTTTGTTTGTTCCGATGTGCAGCTTCTATTTCGGGTGGCATGGTGCACCCAAGCAGCAAGCAGAGACCCCACAAGGACTTGTATACAGAATGAAAGTTGGTTTCTTGTACTTTCGCGAAACCTACATCAAGCTTTTAAGCGGGGGCTATGTATTTGCAAAGTCCTCATCTTCGCGAGGTGTGTTGTGTAGTCTTTTCATGCTCTGTATTGTTGTATACCAGGCAGATGTAGATGTTTGCAGGCAGGCACGTCCCATGCAGTTTGCCATGAGCTTTGCAGCCAGACATGTCCGATGCAGTGTGATGATCTGTGCAGCCAGACATGTCCCTTGCTTTCCTCATGTCAGCTGCTGTGCACTGCATTCTCATGTGACAGATACATATGTACATATGTACATACATACATACATATGTACATACATACATACATACATACATACATTCATACATACATACATACATATATACATACATACGTAGAGACATGCATACATACACACGTACATGCATACATGCATACATACATACATACATACCTACCTTCATACATCTATATATGTCTAGACATATATACATATGTGTACTTTTCGGTGTATTGGTTTCTACATATATCTCTGTATATTTGTACAGAGACATGTATATAGACACGTATGTTTAATATGCATATATGTTCGTACATTTCCATTTTTATGTTTATATACAGACATATGCATGTATATAGTTCTATGTATATACATACAATATATACACATATATATATATAGACATCTTTGTGTCTGTATATATATATATACATATGAGTCTATATATACACGTATATATATATATATACACACATATATATATATGTATACATGTCTATATTTTTATGTGTGTATGTGGGTATACATGTATACATATATATGTATGTACAGACATATCTTCGTTTTCTTCATTCACATAGATACAAAAATAGTCGAAGGCTGATGCTTTTCAGCCTTTTTTTTAAGGAATCGTTTTGCTGGACGTGAGCATGTTCCTTCTCTGTGTGTGTTGCACAGACTCAGCAAAAGCACGAGTGCACGACAATGGTATGCTTTGGTTTGGCCTGCTCTCCTTTCAAATCTGCATGCTGTGTAGGTATGTACATCTATACCCCTGCATGTGCAGCTAAAGTGCATGTTCTGAACACGTCTGAACACGTTCTGCATGTGCACCTGTTAGATGCTTGCACTGTGCCACATGCTTGAGTGCAGCCAGTCTGATAGGAGTGGATTGCATGAGGAACTTGGTCGTCTGCATGGTGGCCGTTTTTTGCACAAGCCTTTGCTTGTGCATGGGCTCGCCTCGGCTTCCTTTTGGGAGCCTGCAGGATGTCTCAGAAGAGGCATCGCCCTGACGATGAGGAGGCCATGGTGAAGGAGGAGGAGGCCGTGCCCGGCTCCGGAGTGGAAGATGTGTACTGGATGCCGGACGATGGCCAGTACTACGACCAGGACGACGAGACCATGGAGCAGGAGGAGGGGCAAAAGCAAGAGGTGGAGGTGGAGGTGCCGGTGGATGAGCCATGGCAGGATCGCCGATGGGGCGACAGCCGTGGCGGCCACGGCGGCTATGGCGGTGGCCACGGTGGCGGCTACGGTGGCCAGAAAGGGGGCTTCCAGCAGGGGTACAAGGGCTACAAGGGCTACAAGAACTACAGCGGCAACCAGAAGAGCTCTTGGTCCTCCTGGAAGCAGTGGAAGAAGCCGAAGTATGAGGCCAAGCAAGAGTCCTCAGGCTCCTCCGGGAGGTACGTGGAGGGTGGCTGGGTGTCATCGGATGGCAACTTCCACTCGAGACTTCGTCTAAGCATAGGGTATCTTTTTTTGGGCAGTGTATACTATGTTTGTGCCTAGGATTG